TAGAAAGACATACTTTTATTTAAGATGGAGGAGGCAAATTTTAGAAAAGTAAATCTAAGCAATAAATGGCATTTGATTATGCTGGCATTAGAATAACATTTGTTCTTTTCTTAAATAATTTTTTTGTTTATTTATTTTTGAGAGAGAGAGAGAGAGAGAAAGTGAATGAGTGGAAATGGAGCAGAAAGAAAGGGAGACGCAGGCTTCAGGCTCTGAGGTGTCAGCACAGAGCCAGACACGGGGCTCAAACCCATGAACCGTGAGATCATGACCTGAGCTGAAGTCCGACACTTAGCCAACTGAGAAACCCAAGCACCCCCAAATAACATTTGTTTCTTAGAACAAAACACAAGGAAAATAATTCTAATAACTCACTGGCCAGCAGCAAATAACAGCCTTGAACTTAAAATCCCTCCCAACCCTAGGAAAAATGCTTAATGGTTTGCCCCTTTATTTATTTGAAGTATTACTTTGGCCTCAGAAATAATTTTATCTAATTTCTGGATTGTTTTTCAGTCTTTATATTCTCAACTTTCTCATATTTATCCATTATTCTTATATTTTGTTATATGAGAACAGGTGAGTATAATTTTTGAGCTCTTATACAAAAATAATGTAGTATTTACAATCTTAAAAGAACACAAATAAACTTTCATATCTATAAATTCTCACACATTTTCATGAATGATAAAATATTAATAATAAAATTTTAAGGACTGCAATTGTTTCTAGATTGTGTGTATCTCTATAATTGGTTCTTTCAGACTTTGGTTTATATGTAGTTTCTTTTCTCCAGAAAATACATTTATTCTCTGAATATCCATACAGAATAAGAAATTTAATATCCTTTCATGAAAATGATTTCCTGATTGTCTTTCAATTAAAATTTTTGTTTCAGTGATTTTAAATACCTATAAACTACTTAAGATTTTTTAAATTGGGAATGGTTCCTTTTTAAAGCACATTTTGATATCTTTTATGTACACAGTGTTTTGGTTTGAGGAAGAATAAAGTAAACTAATAGCATAGATGCAATATAACATAGTGGTTAAGAATGGTAGCTTGGGAGTCCCTCATAGCTGGGTTTAAACCCATGTCTTCTATGACCTAATCTTATAATCTTGAGCAAGCCACTTAATGTTTCTTAACCTCATTTTTCATCTATAAATGAGAATAATAATATCTGCTTCATGGGGTTATTATGACAATTTTACAAGAAAATACATGAAAAGCACTTAACACGAGGTCAGGACTTGAGTAGGTGCTGAATAAAAAATATGTATTAATCATCATCATTATTAGAATTAAAGAATCTTCAAAGGGAAGTAGCTTAAAAAAAAAAAAAAAAGCTGGGGTAAGCATTATCATTACCAAAGGTTAACATTCAATTTCACAAGGGAAATAGCTATTTATGTTAAAGCTTCAACAATAAAACACACTAAAGGAGACAGTTCAAGATGGTTTGCTGCATTCCTTGTGCTGAATGCCAGGTGTTTTTATACATATATATCTCAATTAAGCCTGACAACAACCTCAGAAGGTAGGTTAGCATGCCTATTTTACAGATGAGGAAATTGAAGCTTAGAATTTTGTCCAAATCATGCAACTGTTAAACTGCAGAATCACTACTCAACTCCAATTTGTTTGATCCCGCAACCCTGTTTCAACTTAACGTCCAAATTTGAGTCAACTTTGGGAACTGTTCATACTGGACCACTGACGCTTATCCATGCCAGATCTGAATCGAAAGCAGGAGCTTGTAGGTAGCATAGGCTTTATCAACCCTCAGCTTTTATTATCTCTTTCATCTACAATCTAACCCATTTAAAGGAACCCGGGAATTCAGAAGCCTAGTAAATAATACTGCCGCCTACATATAGCCTCACTCTGCAGGCCCTTCTCTGCCTAGAGTTGGAACATTTCACTACCCTGGACAGTGCCCAGGACAGCATTCTTAACTGTTTCTTCACCAAAAAACCATGTAAGTCTTGTTGATTTTTCCTCAGCAATGATGGTGAATCCAGGTATCCCCTCTGTGGCTATCTCAGTGCTTCAATCAGACCTAAATACCCTTCCCCTGACAATTATTAAGACCTTGTGTCCTGCCTCTCTCCTATTGCCACTACTCCAACAGACCTTTGTCCACTCAAGTCATTTAATTTACACTTCCAAGGGAAACACCTAATGCACACTAATGTACATGGATGATGAGAAAATAGGAGTCTGAGAAGAAACAGTCAAATAGGTGGGGAAAAATAAAGGACATGAGATAACCTGAGGAAAGGATTTACAGTAAAGTGTTAGGCAAGTAACCTGTAATGTAATTATGTCAGAGATTCTATATAATTCTATTAATTCTTCTGTAGTTTGACCAAACAGTGCTTTTTTCACACTACTGTCGAGGGAAATGTCCACATACTAATTTTTTCCACATCCAAATAGAGTTTTAGGAACATGATGTAATGGGGTGAAAAAAGCATTGTTTGGTCAAACTACAGAAACAAAGTAGCACTGGTCAGGAGTGCACAGGGGAAAGTTATGTTACAACAACTTTGTCTCCTAAAACATTTTTATTTTTATAACTTTTTAAATACAAACAGTAAAAAGACACTAAGCATGTTGTTTGAAAGTTGAAGTAATCAAAGGTGAATAAATATAAAAAGGAGACACTGATATATAGGATTGACTACCTGGTTTAGATATTTTCTTTGCCAAATGAGAGGAATTCCAATACAACATATTAGATGTTAGACAGAATAGGGGGAATATGATATTCAAGTAGTCTCTTTAACAGTCACTGCTTTGGCAATGTGTCATACTTTGTTTTTTTAGGATGAAATTTATATTGTGGTTGAAGAAAATCTAAAAAAACTAAAAAATAATTTATTTGTTAACATTTAATATGTTTGATTTTATTTCTCAACATTATGATTTCAGATGCTGCCATTTAATTTATGCACAAAGGGCTACAGTGGAAAATGCTTCTACTATATCTACATGAGTACTGAACACTGCCGTATAAAAGGACATACTACTTTTTCTTGGGGACTTGAGGGGAAAAGCCAATGGTAGGGTGCAATGGAATTATTATTTAGCCTCCTCTCTTCTCTATTCCTCTGCTGTGTTTAGTAAATGAATCCACAAACTAAATGAATAGAATGCAATCACTCTTTCAATTATACCATTTGATGTGCTTTACGTTCAGCAGAAGAGAATAGGGAATCTGGTTTCATTCCAGGTTCTTAATCTTTCTGATAAGACAGGCTCTTCATCTGTGAGCATTAGGATTAAGTACATAGGCCCCTTGTGTCAGCTTTCAAAGGGAGATCTAGCCTTGTAGGAGATGAGATAACCCATTGTGCATAGGGAATAAAGTGATATAATGAAGGACTCTCCAAATGTTTCTGGAATTCCTGTATAGTGCTATGTTACTGTGTCTCTGGGAAACAGAGTCCATTTAATGGGACCAGCATACAGTCTTGAGTTTAGGACTCTGTCATTTGCTTAAGGCCCTGATGTCACTGTCTCGGAATTCTTAGTAAATTTTTAACAAGAGACTATATTTTTATTCTACACTGGTCTCTGCAGATTATGCAGCTGGTCCTGTGGTGAAGAAGGGCTTTGGAAAGAGACAAAGGATGATCATCTGCTTTCTTTGGCTTCTGCAAAGACATGATACCTGGCTGGAACAGTCATGCTTTGTAACTACTGCTCTCTCAAAAGCATTAACAGATATCCAGCATTGAGAGGAGACCAATATCCCTGTTAAGGATCCAGTCTCCCTTCTCTACTTACACTTTCTCCTTCTCCTTCTTAGTTTTATGGATGGCTGCCCAGTCAGAGAATATATTTCCAAACTCTCTCTCCTTGTTCCCAGGTAATTTAACTGGACCGTTGAGATGTGAATAAACATGTTTAGGAGTTCTGTGTTATTGCCTTACAAACAAAGCCAAAAAAAAAAAAAAAAAAAAAAACTGAAAACTTTCCTTCTCCTTCTCACAGGCTGGAAAGCAGAGCAGATATGCTGGTGTCCCAGCTTTGACCATTCAGAGTAAGATGACACACTAAGGAAAGGCAGAGCAGACAGTACAAGGAACTTGGGTCCTTTTAAGACCTCCTGAATGTTCCTCTGCTAACATGGACTATTCACCTGATCAAGGACTTGAAAGAGGAATAAATTATGCTGGGGTCTCTTTGTTACATCAGCTTAGACTTTGTCCTAAGTAATGTACAGAATAAACTCTTGGGAATTAATTCACAATAACTTTGTATTTACTTAGAATAGCTGAATAAAGTAGTGTTCTGTTTGAGCATTCTACATAGGGAAAATCACAAATTAGTACTGAAATGATATAAAACTATACTGAAGCTAATTTTATTCTCAGTGGTTTTCAGAACACTTCTGGATCTTGAAGAGCCTCAATGTCATCCATATGAATACTAATTATAGTATATAACTATAGATGTTGGGGCCTGAGTAAATCATTTGTTTTATTTTTAATTTTATTTTTTTAAAGAGAGAATTCATGAACTGAGGAGAGGGGCAGAGAGAGAAAGAATCTTAGGCTGGAGCCTGACCAGGGCTCAATCCCATGACCCTGTGATCATGGCCTGAGCCAAAATCAAGAGTCAGATGTTCAACCGACTGAGCCACCCAAGCGTCCTGGGGCCTGAGTAAATCTATAACAACTTATGAAAAATTCCTGAAGTTCCATCTTCAAAACGAATTCTTGTATGACTCTAGTTTGATTGTAAGTTATCTCCATACTGAAAGAAGACTATAGGAGTTAAAAATAACATTTGTGAATTCTCTCATTGCTCAGAAAATGAATTTAGGTACTTACATACATAAAAAAATAACAGCATATAGAAGATAGTTTTACTTCTCCTTCCTTAAAAATTTTCAATGACTAAAACTGCTAAGATTTAAAATACATTGATAAACTAATTACAAAATCATCATGGAATCATATCTTCAAAAGTACAGATTTTATGTTTACCTGCCCCAATGACTCTCTCAATGCGAATTCTTGAGGGATCAATCTCCTTTGCAAATTCATGAACTGCTAGGGACGGGTCTTCATATGTATCTGGATCTATGTAAGTTTTAATTCCTGGGAAGCGTACTGCAATACAAAAAAAGATTGATTTAGTTTAAAAGTGTTTTAGTAATTACACATATTGTGTATGTTTACAACAAGGATTGATATACTAAAGTAGTCATTCTTGTAACTTACTTAAGTTCAACTCTCTTTTCTTTCTGTCCCACTCCTCCTCACGACCCTAATAAAGATCTGAGTACTTGGAAAAAATTTATTTACCTGTTAGTGTAAGATGACCTGATGGTTTAACAGAGAGTGAGCTGACAGGTTCCAGAAAACACATTTATTTATTATATATCTGTAAAATGTTTAATCAGGCTCACTAATTCACTAATAACCAATACATTTTGTACTTGATCTAGCTTAGGACACAGGGGGAAAAGGCAAAAGTCTTTCTCCCAAAACTTTTTCTGCCAAAACAAGCAAGCCTGTTATGGTCCCTCCTGGACCCTTTGCACTAGGAAGATGAATAGGGATGGCTGGAAAACTTGATGTGCGGTTAGCACTTCATATTCAACTTCTTTCAGTATCAGAAGAAATCACAGACTGTGTGTGGCTATTCCTGTTTTGCTGGTAGCTTTCTGTTTTCCAGCAGATTTCTGACTCCTGGAGGACAGGAGATCATCTCTTACACATCTTTGTATCTTTCCAAATACCTCAGGTATGGTTTTACAGGTAATAATCACACAGCAAACCTTTATTAAATATGAATTAGTAAGGATTAAAAGATAAATGAAAATTCATGGCATAGTAGATAGATGATACTTGGTTTTGTTGCTTTAGATTTTGAAAGCCATATAATACCCGAGTTATGTGTTGGCTAGGTTTCCTTAGAAACATGCTTTTGCAAGAAAATCTCAATAGCAAACAAATAAAAGGTAATAAAGCAAGTTTAGAGGAGGTGCTGAAATGTCCTTTGTTAGCAGAGTTTGCTTCATGAGTTCTCTATGCCTGTTGCCTCCTGTCATTACTTTTTGCCTACTGTCTTCTGCTACCAGATGAGTACCCAAGAGAATATTAGTCATTCCCCAAATATCACCAGCAAAGCATTCAAGTTATACTTAGGCCTGACAATGATTCTGAGAATACTATGCTTTTCTTGACTTCCAAAGTTTATATTGGAGGAAAAAAGAACAGGTGATCTTTACCTCTGGTTCATATTGCAGACATTTTTTGTAACTTAATGGGAGTGGTGGTTTCAGAATGAATACTCTAAACTCAAATGCAGTGGCTACTATTTATTAGATGATTAGCAGTATCTAATTGGATATGTGGTGTTAATATCACCTTTTTTTCCTTGTAAACATAATATATGTCAATTATCTGGTTACTTATTTAACTTACCCATGGTTTCTTAAAACTCGGTTTGTTATCTTTCTTTTACTTCCTTGGCTAACTTAGGTTATTTTCATTGCTTCTTGCCGGACCCATCTGGTTTAGTTTATGCTAAACTGCTAGTTGGAAACCAGATAATAAATATCTCAGGAGCATCTTTTTTCCTCTGCATTTCAAGACTAAATGCCCTGCAGTGAGTCTTAAGTTTGCTCAGCATATGTCATCTATCCAGGTGTTTGGATCCAAGTTTATGCATCTGTTCACAGCATTTCCAGCACATCCCAGGGCTGGCAGTGGCTGTCTTAGCTTCCCTTCTCTGCCAGTGCAGTAAGCCTCAAATGTATTCTAAAAAGAAGAGCGACCAGGGAGGCCTTGCTAAAAATGCATGTGTCTTGGCCCTACCATGGACCTTCTGAGTCAGAACTTTGGTGAGTGAAGATGCAACATCCTAATGCAGATAGTCCTCAGACCACTGAAAAATCCTGTGAGCCTTAGACATAGCCCTAAAACATTCCTCTAGTTTATAATTTACTCACTTAAATCCTTTCTGCCTCTTTCAGAAAGTGATATAGATTGAAAAGTCCCTTAGTCCTTTGGCTCAACCTGAAGTAATCATGAGTTTAAAGAGTTAAACAACTTGCCTCACATTATTTCTACACTGTGGTTAATTAGAAACATCCCTTTCTTGTTAATTCGGCATCTCATGACAGAAAACTGTCTTGACAAAGTAGTTTGCCATTTGGAGGTGGAGGTGAAGCTGGGCGTTGGGGAGGAGAGGGTGGCAATTATCAAACCAACTATGGTGGCAATTATAGCTTACTTTGGAAGAGATTCTACAAATGAATATAACCTTGTAGTCTGCTCAAGGATTTCATACATATTCTAACAGTTAAAGAGCTGATTTTCCTTTTTAGTGTTAATGAATTGTAAATTAATTTGTTATATGTTTAAATGACAGTCCCTACAAGAAGGAATAAAAGTTCCTTAATATTTCTATGGCTAATGCTCCACTAAATTAAACCAACTCACATTCAGGAGCCATTGTGAATGGTAAATAACTAGATACAAGCAGTCATCTTGTATTTTAAGCATATTCAGTCTTCGTGTTTTCCATCAAGCAGAATTAGGAAGAAAGTACTATCATTTAATGAGAAGCAGGTGCAATTTCCACCAACAAACCTGGAAACCAGATGAAAAGTCTTAATGCTGAAAGGTTGGAAATATATTTTTTCAGGTTTTCTCAACTCAGTGGATACAAATTTAAAATGAACTTTTGAGGGCTGGAGCAATATAAAATAATAGAAGGGTCACAGTATTACTTACAATGTCCATTCTGCTGTAAGTGGTTTCTCCTCTTCTCTTCTGACTTCATTTTAGCTTTGATGTACCATTGGCACCTTTGAAAAGGGTAAGCAGAATCTTAGTTTTAGAATTATGCTGGATGAGAACCAAAATCAACTAAAATACCTATTACCAGTGGGCCAACTTCTTATCACAAAGGCCATATTTAAGAGTATCTTTATAACATGTGGAAATACTCCATACAAGTTTTTTTAATAGATCAGAATTAACCCCAGATAAGAATAAAATACTCTCATGTGGACTGATTTGCTCAAATCATAGGAATCTTAGAGAATATTCTATAATCAGCAATAACCATCACTTGCTTCCTTACAGAACTTCTAATAGGTGGAGTTGGTAGAAAGCATTAAAAGTCAAAACGAAGAAATGTTTTTGAGTCAGAACCTCAGAAATTTAGACAAATGTCATCTAGTTTCACTGTTGAAGAGCATTTCTTTTTTAATGTCAGAAGTTTGGTAAAGGTATGTTCTGTTCTCTCTTGGGATAACTGTGCTCTGAGAAAGAGGAGATGCTGATCTCGCATGACTTCTGCAACATGAATAAATTCTTCAACATCCATGTGATTTGACAATTCATCACATTTCTAATTCCAAATGGTTAAAAAGACTATATATGTGGTATATCATCCAATCTTTCAATGTGAATTTTCCTCAAATCCTATGGCAAATTGAGTATTTATTCAGAAATGTCTTACAGTTTTTATAGAATTATTTTCAATGAATACTCCCTTATCACGTGCTTAAGGTATACATCAAAATGATTTTTTTAAATCTTATGTAAGTCAAATAGCTTTCCCGAGTTTGTAGAATATTAGTTTCTAATGTCGTATAAATTGGAAAACATGGAAAGTAAAAGCTGAAAAGAATTTAGTACAAATTTGTCTTTACCATTAAATTATCTTTTAAAGATAATTCTGCTTCAGAAATCAAAAATAAAGATACCATTTGAGCCCATCTCAAGTTTATTAGGCCAAATTGATTTAGCCTACAATGTCTGTAATGTCTTCTTTTAAGCCTCCCATGTTTATGTGTTAGGGCAATATTTTCTGATATTTTAATGAAATGCTTATCTACATGTTAATGTGCTATTTAAATCACTGCTGAAATACTCTATGAGGAAATAAAGACTTAACTCATATTCTACAAATGAACATAACTGTAACTTAAAAATTACATCTGATTGTGCCATATACTGACTCACTACTAAATAAAACATCATTTAAATCAATTTCCATTATATAGTTATAGACTTTTTTTAAAAAAAATTGAGGGTAAAAGTGGCCCTGCTGTTTAAATAAAATCATACTTAAGTACCCCATACTTCTTCAAGAATACTTTCAAATAAGAAAATAAGTCTTTTTGAATGAAATTAACCATCATATCTAAATTATCATAGTCTAGTTGACATAATTTGTGATTCTGGAGTTAGGATCACCTCATAGGTCCCCATGATACTTTAATGATGGAATCATCTTTCTGGGCTGCAAACTGATTGCCTTTAAGTTATGTGCAACTCCATGATAAATGGAGTATTATCAAGGTATCAATGCCCCCCAACTCACAATGCATGAGCAGCACTTGTGTTATAAATGGCAATGAAAACACAGTAGAGTTCATTCTTCCACTTAACATTTTTCTAATAAGGTTTGCTAAACATGTAGCAACACATAAAGTGTTGGCATATTGTTTTTTTTTTGCCTAATTAGATTGTCATTGTGACTTTATATGCACCAAAATTGTATTCTAATCCCTCTTCTAATAAGAGAGTTGTAGGTATGATCATAAGAACTCTAACTTCTCTTTTGTTTTGTTTTTCAAAAGAGCTTAGACCTCCACCAGGATGCGTAGGGTTTTGCCTGTTTGTCAGTTTTTATAACCAGCTCTCTCCTGCTAGTGATTAAGGATTTTGTAGATCATGTTTGGTATTTGTAGCATGTCATACTGAATATTTTGTTTTCAACCTAATGGTTAGTTGGTTTAGAGACCCCAAGATATTTTTTCTGCCCACTATAAAAGATGGTTGTACCAAAGCTGTGATGATGGCAAGGACCTGTCAGAGTTTAGCATGAGGTATAAAGGGAGAAAGAAACAGGAGAGTGCTGGGCAATAGTATATGACAGTGGCACCATGACATGTCCAAACTAGCACTTTTTATTAGGATTAATTTATCAGTATTTCCTGCATTCTTTCATATGTTTTTTTTTTCTTGTTACTATAGCTATCACTCTTCTATCAGTAAATCAGCCTCCCAAAACAGGAGATTCAGACACTCTTTATTTATTACAAGAACAATACTATGTCTATTTATACATAAAAATTTTAAGTAAGTGTGTGGTAAAAGTGCCCATTTTACAACTAATTTCATAAAGAAGTCACCATTTCAACTCAACCACATTAGAATATTCATGTGTTTCTTTGTTTCTTGATAAGTTCTATAAAAGTGGGTTTGTTACACCTAGATCTGACATCTTCGACAGGTAACAGTTACAGTCAGGCAGGTACCCAACCTTGATAATGCCATCTAAGTATTTGTGAACTTACTGGTCTACACATTTAGCCTGCTCTAAAATTGTAGATAATAATTTTTTCATGCATGCATATCCTCTATAACTTAAAACTGAATTTTAATAAAATATTGCAATGTAAGTAGAGTTTTTAAATAAATAAAACAAAAGGGTTTTATTGTTTATTCACTGAACTATTGCCCCTGAAAGTAGCTTTTCGTTATTTGCTCATTGTCAAGAATCAACACTTCCAGTTGAGATGGTACACTTTAGCTGGTATCATCATGGATGCTTATTTTTTGGCTGGCATTCTTATTGCACTTTTAAATCATGACATTGGTTTTTTTGCAGTGTGTGTTTTCCATATTATCAGGAAAACTCATGATATGTCCATTTGCACCACTATTGATAATCAAGAAAGAAGAATTTTTCCCTTGTAGGAATAAAAATATGATCTGAATATATTCACAGTTTCTTACAAAAGTCTGGGCGTAATAACAAGAGTTACAGAAGAATCTTTTATATGATTTCATACATATTACCTTTATTCACATCTCTCTATAGTCAGTACCTGGCTCATGGTAATAATCCAATATATCTAAAAATCAGTAAATGGTTTTAATTATTATACCAAATGTGTGCAAAAATAGAAATATAGGATTTAGATAGCTTAAGCACTTTGACCAGCTTGTCAGCATTCAAATCTAGGTCTTTTGCTCTGTTCAATTTATTGTTACTTTAAATTTTCATCTTTATTACCTTAAAGTAAAGAAATACCAGATTTATATAACCAATTAATACAATTCTAATATAGATCCCATCAACATTTAATGAATAAATATAACACATTCTATAACACTAAGTTTATAAAGAACTTTTATATAAATTTTCTGTTGAATTATTTTTTTTCTCCAGGAAAATTTTCTTTCATGTTGTAATTTGAATATAGTAAAGGAAAAACTTATCGAGTAAGAATTTATCTTTCATAGTTTTCAATGTATTTCTATCACATCTTTAGTTGCTTCCATATTCAGAAGCCTATTGATACAGAGAACTAGACATGGTAGTTCTCTTATCATATAAACTTCAGTCAGAGCAGTCTGCCCTGATCCCTTTTTTTCTCATAGTTTGCTACATTTAAAAGCATATGAATACACAGTATTACAAGAGAATGGTTATTCACAAATCATAGGAATAATCTGGTATGCTTCCATTACCTCCCAGTGATTAAGAAGAACAAAGTAAGAATGACGAGGAGAGTAAATCCCCCAACAGCTGCAGTGGCTATCACGAGAATCTGTCCCTGTTCAGCCGCCATATCAGAAGCTGAAACACAAATACAATATTAAAATTTCCCTGGGTGACATTTCACTAAAGAAATTATTTTACAACTTAGTATATGCTTGAAAATATGATGATGGATACCGAAAATTTCCACGGTATTTGCCTTTATTTGTCATCTAGGATGCAAACCTAAAATAAGGGCTGAAGATCAAGGCCATAACCACAACAAACCCCTTCTTCTTCAATTACAAAATTACCAATAAAGTAGATGGATTCTTAGTATCCCACATTTTAAGATTAAGTATTTGTTGCAAATTTAAATCAACAAACAGACTTAAAGGATTTTGTTTATATTATTGCTAATTTATTTCCTTAAATACTTGAATTAACAGACCAGGTTTTACACACTGTCTCTTTCAACAAAGTGGAAAGACAATTATATAATTCACTTCAAGAATGACCTTTTTTATATTTCATGAAGATTAATTCAAACATTAAAGTTAAGAACTCACACTCTACAGCACAGGGTGTACATAGCAAGTTCTGAGATGCTTAGCAGTGATTTAAAAAATGACATTTGAAAGCTTCTATTTTTGAAGAAAAAACTAGGTAACGTATGGTAACAACATATTATTTCTTTCATTGATAAAACTGTAAAAACTACATGGGATGTATATATTACTACTACTTAGGAAACCTTTTAAAATATATTACTTCAATTAATTCATTAGCACATCTCATTCTATGTATTACTTAAGTTTTTTAATTTTTAATTTTTTGTTTTATATTTAAGAGACTTATTTTTTATTTTTTTCTTTTTTAAAATCAAATTTATTTTTTTCCTTAGTTTATTATCAAGTTGGTTTACATATAGCACCCAGTGCTCATCCCAACAAGTGCCCTCCTTCATGCCCATCACTCCCCTTCCCTCTCCCCCACCATCAGCCCTCAGTTTGTTCTCAGTATTCAAGAGTCTCTCATGGTTTAGAGAGAAGAGCCTGAGCAGGAGAGGGGCACAGGGAGAGGGAGAGAGAATGCGGAGCTTGATCTTCTGATTCTGGGATCATGACCTGAGCCAAAATCAAGAGTTGGACGTTCAACCAACTGAGCCACCCAGGCACTCCTGTGTTACTGAAGTTTTCATAAGAAATATTTTTTATTGAATAGGATATGAACAATTGCTTCATAACAGAACTAAGAAAACTGAAGCCCAGAGAAGGTAAAGAACTTGCTTGACTTCACACATGACCATCCCCAGAATTCAAAGTTTAGTTTTATGTTTTATTTCCCCTTCCAATGCTATAATTTGATGTAATAATTCAGCTATTTGTCAATACTCTAAAATATTGAATCAGTCCCTTTAATATCCTTTCACTAGACTAAAGCTTTATTTTTATTTTGATTACTATAAAAATCTATGAATCAAATCATTTATATGCAGAAAACTGAATCAAATAATGTAACTGAAAAACATGGGGCACCTGGGTGTCTCAGTTGGTTAAGCGTCTGAGTCTTGATTTTGGCTCAGTTCATGATCTCACGGTTTGTGAGTTCAAGCCCCATGTCCGGCTCTGCACTGACAGAGCAGAGCCTGTTTGGGATTCTCCCTTTCTCCCTCTCTCTGCCCTTTCCCTTGCTCATGTTCTCTCTATCTCTCAAAATAAATAAATAAACTTAAACAAAAAGAGAGAATATAACTGAAAAACAAACCATTTAATTCTCTACCATAATAATTCATTAAACTTGGGTACTTTAAGATTTTCACAAAAGTAGTTCTTCTGGGAATCAAGTAGGCAGTATACTATGTGCAAATATATATCCATAGTAATAACTTCCTCCTAAAAATGACATATCTACTAGGGAATTTCTGAACATTAAAAGCTATTGTTAAGTAAGAAACCAGTCACAGCATTTAAGAGACTTTTTAAGAAGTCTCAGTGTAAATTAAAACAACTATCTTTATGTTTAGTTTTCAGTAGGAAATTTATTAAACCTTGGAATTAGATTTTAGTCACTATGATTTCATTACGATATTTTCAGGCATCTATTTCTTTTAGCTCATAATCTGTGCAGAAACAAGTTAAAGAGTTGCACCTTTTCTAATAAATAATGTGCATAAGTTTTTTTATTAGGTCCTCACTGAATTTCCTAATCTTCAAAATAGTGCTGATATTGCAGGAATTAATATGTGCTCTAAAATATCACATTTCACATGAAAATTATTGAATAACAAATTATAAGGGATAGATGTTACAGAAAACATTAATTTCTTGAAGATACAGAAGATGCCATTTAAAAGTAAACATTTACTTAGCAACTCCTAAATTTGTAAAATATATAATATAGTTCAAGAGTTTTAAGTCTGGAGCCTATATTTTCACAGGTGCTAGGAGCAAGTAATTTACTGAGATCGTATATTCAAAGTTCAGATGGGAAGGATTATGTAATTGGACCTTTTGAGGCTCATTACTTTATTATAGAACACTGTGTTGTTTACTTTTAAAAATTGGTTAGCAAACTGCAGGTTTTACTAATATTTCTTTGTTTTCACACTTATGATTACATATTAATGAACTTTTCTTCAATTAAAATTTTGATTGAATAACAGAATATTCAGTTGTGTCAACGCAAACAATGCATATGCCTGTTTAATTGTTTCTTAAACTTCTGTACTAGAAATCCTAAACACTCTTCCTTGGAGATTGGCATACAGTTGAACCTTGAATACACAAGTTTTAACTGCATGGGTCCACTTATATGCAAATGTTTTTTGATAAATACCATAAAATACTCTAAGTGTTTCTTCTGACTCTTTTTAACATTTTCTTTTCTCTAGCTTACTCTACTGTAAGAATACAGTATACAATACATGTAACATACAATATGTGTTAATTGACTGTTTATGTTATTGGTAAGGCTTCTAGTCAAAGGTAGGTTATTAGAAGTTAAGTTTCTGGGGAGTCAAAAATTATGTGTGGACTTCTGACTGGGTGGAGCAAAGGGGTTACTGGTGTCCCTAATCTTTGCATTGTTTAAGGTTCAATTGTATATAAGTATATAAGTTATTTGAAATAAGAGGATGCACTATTATATACCAGGGGTAAAATGTCATGGATTATGGAGTTGGGATAATTATGAAAACATTAGGAATATCATCATCAACAATAGCCACTATTCATTTCATACTAAATTATCTTCTAGCATTATGTTTAGTGTTTCAAATTCACTACCAAATTTATCTGCACAATAGTCTTAATAGGTAGGTACTATTATTATTCCTAGTATAGGCAGTTATATTCCTTGCTAAGGTCACACTTCTTGTACACAGGAAAGCTAGCAATCCAATTCCGATTTGTCAGGCTCCAGGCCCAAGATATTGTCAGTATTTTATACTACCATTTTTGCTAACAGAACAGACGGTTAGATCCAGCTCTTTTGTGGGTACTAGAATAATCATAGCCTTGACTGACCTTGGTTTCATGTCTGTAAAATGAGAATGTTGAATTAGATGTTTCTGTCACATTCAGAGCTATTTTACTATGATACTATGTTATCCATAAAAACTACAAATATTGAGAAAAGTAAGATTTGCCATATGTAAGTAAGAGGAACACTCAGGACCTCTGTTGCTAATCTTGGTCCTGACAGGCACAATTTCTGCTTTTTTATTATATTACTGTTGGCCAATCACAGAGCTCTGACTCTATCTCAGGGTGAAGTCTGTGGTCTTTAACTTTGCTCACATGGCTCTCTACAAATGATTCTAAATGTATATATCCAGATTAATCTCTTATTGTTCTCTATGTTGAATTTCTTCCTGATCCTTGAAATGTGCCAAGCTCTCTTTCATGGCCAATTCCTATTTAATCCTCCTACGTGAACATCTCATCATTTGGAAAGCTTTTTTTCCTTGTTTAGATTTAATTAGGTCCCCAGACTTATGTTCCCATAGCTCTTGGACTACTTCTACCAACACATTTCTATCATGTTTTACTGAAATCACATTTTTGGTAACCTGTCTTTTCAATTAGACTACAAATCTATGAGTGAAGGGGCTTTAGTCACTATAGTATCTGTAGTAAGTTGAATGATGACACCTATCATCCTCCTCTACCAAAAAACAAAAACAAAAAACAAACAAAAAAACAACCAAAAAACCCTATTTGTAGGTGCAAGTAAATTCCTTAACTTACTACTCATCCTGTATTATCTGAGTGGTCCCAAATCCAATGACAAGTGTCCTTAAAAGAGACAAAAGAGAAGACAAAGTAGAGAAGTCCATGTAAATACAGAGGCAGAGATTAGAGTTATGTAGCCACATGCCAAGGAATGCCTGGAGCCACCAGAACCTAGAAAAGGCAAGGAAGAAGTGTCTTCTAGAGCCTCAGGAGAGAGTATGCTTCTGGCCTCCATAACTGTGAGAGAAGAAATTTCTGTTGTGTGTGTCATCTGCTGCAGTAGCTCTCGGAAACGCATCCATAGGACCTGATACACAGTAGTAGCTCCATACTACTCATTTCCTACTAAATTATCTTCTAGCAATATGTTTAGTGCTTCAAATTCATTACCAATTTATCTGCACAATAGTCTTATTTTTTGAGTAAATGAATTGAATAGTGATTTGAATTAGGTGATTCTAATTAAGAAAAAAGAAAGTCAGATTGACCTAGAGTTATCCATATCTTCACCTTCCACTTGATATGTAAAGATTTATCCTGAAGTTAGTTATATGTATGTGAAGTAAGTTTACCCAACATAATTTCAATCAGAAGATGCAATTATTCTATATGCTTGGAGATAATACTTTTCAGAAGGCAGGAGCTGCTAGAAAATACAGACTTCTACATTTAATCAAGTTAAGTTAATTAAACTTAGAAAGGTGAATCTAACGTTAAGAATGTATTAGCTCATTCAACAAATGTTTATTGAGAACCTACTACATGGCAGACACTGAGATAAAAACCAGAGATTCAGTTACTGACTTCATGGATTTACAGTTCATGGGAAAGACAGACAATGAAAAATAATTACAAGTGTGAAAA